AAGAAATAGAGCAACTGGATGTGAAGTTTAGATTTTTAATTGTGCAAAAATGAAAAAATCAGGAAGTTCATTGGAATTTTAGAGAGAACTGGGGCAAAATAACCATAAGCAGAGAGCTATTTTAGCAAATATGAAAAAGGATGTCTGGAATAATCACGTCCATCAACTTAGTTACCTTAAAATGGGAATTGCTAGACACCTAATTTTTTGGACACCTTAGTTACCCTAAAATGAGAATCGATAGCCACATAATTTTTTCAACACCTTAATTACCTTAAAATGAGAATCACTTGCCACCTAATTTTTTCAACACAGCTAATTTTACCTCAGTTTACACCCAACATTTTTGGGAATGCTCATTAAAAATAAGGAGGCCATCTTAACTCCAAAATACACAGTTAGATAGATCATCTATCAGTTTGAAATCCCTCACAGATTTATTGAATTCCACATGAGCTAATATCATAAATACCCTAATACTAACCAGTTAAATCAAAAATACACCCAAACAAAATGTACAAACTGCGTAAGGAAACACATACTCAAAAACAGGAATAATCATGATGAAAGGAAAATACAATAAAAGAGCATCTAATAGCAAAACATGGGGAGAATCTGGAGATGAGTTTATTTCCAACCAATTAGTTCTGTTTCACCTTTATATCCTTGAAGAACATTCTCACCTTGTGAAAGTCCCTGGGTTATTTTACATGAACCATCTCTTGAAAGCCCATGTATGAACTACAGGGATCTTTGGCCGCGTGTTCGAAACTACTAAACCCACCACACGTCCAGGCCTTAAGAAAGACAGTACCCCCATAGTAGTGTTCCCCCTCTTATCAGTTTCTAGATGATATGCATCTTTGTCGTATCATATCACTTTCTAAATCCGATTTATTTTATAAAATCAGAACTATTTGACTTTGAATAAACAATTGAAGTTTGTTCTATGTATTCAGTTAATCAATCTTTAAGGTAATTTTTAATGGCAACACTTGAGGTTTTTGTAACATTTTAGGATTTTCTTAATCTTAAGAGACATCAGGCACGTAGCCAAGGGGGGGGGGGGTTCGCACCGCAAAGATTCTTTCAAAATCATGCAGTTTTTCACCATTTTGAGCACTTCTCAAGTGATTTTAGCAATATTTGGGCCAGGAACCCCCCCTGGAAATTTTTGAAAAATGACCCCCCCCCCCCCCCCCCTTGGCAAATCCTGGCTACGGGCCTGGACATACTGAATTATTGCAAAAGCATCTAGGAATGATTATGAATTAAGTGTAACTGGAGGCCTTAAAGTGGAGAGAGCACTGCAAGGGGGCCATCTTTTTCCGTATACGAATCTTTCCTAACACATAACTATCTTCCTATTTTAGCTCTCTGAATGCGCTGCCATCTATACCAATTGAATGTTTTCCTGGCAGTTCTGATTTTAACTGACTTCCCAAATAGTTTTTTTGTCAGTATCTACCTACCATCTTTTGGTGAAAGTATGAATGATATTCACAAGTGGAGATTTGGGTTTGGGGTAACTTAGTACATATCATCTTAACATATAAGACTACCTCAAATCATCATGCACAGATTTGAAAGATTTAAATCATACATTGCAAGTCACTAAATATTGGCAAATCAATAGTATCTATTACACCTCCAAAATGCAATCTGATTTTCGATGCCGTTTCGACACCAAATGGACTGACTAGCCCGGTGGCAAATTTTGGTGTCAAAAGGTTTCAGTGCCGGAACGGTGTCAAAACGGTGCCGGAACAGTGCCAAATTTTTTCGATGCCAAAACGGCGCCGAATTATATTGGTTGTGTACAGCAGGGTTAAATTGCATCGTTATGAAGCATTTGACAAAAAGCTCCTTTGTTAAAATACTTTGTAACGAAGAAAGTAAATCAGTTTCTGATAATTCTACTCTAACCAATGGTGTTAGTTCTATGGTAAAAGCTGGGTATGGAACTCAATACAATAAATCACCTCACATCACTGTTATTGTCACAAATTGAAAATAAATTCTATTCAAGCCCAAATATCCCACTAGATTTTTTCTACAGGCAAAATGATGTCCTGCTGCCATGGGGTGAAGGAACTTTAGATGAGCAAGTTGGTGTCAAAGTGACATCGAAAAGTTAGTACTGAAGAAATAGTTTACATTTCAAGAGTTGATGTAAAATGTTCATCTTTGGTCAACTGTAATCAGTGAGGAGAAGTAAACAGTTGCTGAAATGTCAATTAACTGATCTTCTGTTTGTCTTTACATTGTTGAGATAGGTACCTGGTCAAAGTACTGCTTATGAACTACATGTATATTACAATACAATCTATATATATGTCAGTTAATGTGCAATATACTGTGCAAAATATCCATTCACACAAAGGGATTTTTTCTCTAAAAATAGATGTTGAGAATTTCTTTCAAGAAAAGACCCATTTCGTGGTAATTTTTCAAAAACAAGACCCACTAATTAGTCAAAATTGGAACCACCATCTAGGGATTGTTCAGTGAAAAATTGACCCACTTTAGCGCCATGTCCCCATAGTGCCCCCCCCCCCCCCTCCTGGATTATGCATCAGTTTCTTTTTTTGTGTTTTACAAGCACCATCACAATATTTTCAGCAGAGATCTAGCAGATGATATTTAACAGCGCTGTATTTGACAAAAATATTCGAAAACCTCTTTACCTTTACAGCAATGTTGAGTTAAGTAAATACCAAGTTTGATTTTGTATTTGTGATGAAACATAAATGTCAGGGTGTCTGTATATTAATGAGTCTGGCCTTTTCTTTCACCTGGTTTACTTTGGATGTTAAACATCCATGATATATAATGCCAGAAAACATGTACATACAGTGCCTATCATAAATAAATGGCACCTATATTTGCTGAAGTGAAGATTTACCCATGTTAAAAAGAAGAGAATTTTCAAGTGACTATATATATAAGTAGTTGAGAGTATACAAAATGTAAAACAATTTCAACATTATGGAAAGTATGAAGTTTCAAATCACCATGGTATGGGAATTGTGATAGAAAATCAAGATGTAAAGACAATGGTTGCGTCTGCCCTGCAGACGCAACCATTGTCTTTACAGACGGATCAGCATATGGCAATCCAGGACCTACTGGCTCTGCGGCGATTATATACCTACAAGGTCTTAGAGGGGAACCTATTTGTTTAGAACAAGCTATCTCCAACAGAAGCAATAACTTTGTAGGAGAAGTGAGGGCCAGCAACCTTGCACTCACCTTTCTACAAGAAAGTCCACTTTGTAACAACATACTACTATTCTCTGACTGCCAGCCAGCGCTTATCACAGCCTTTGAAACAAACGTTCCAAAAAATGAGCTTAACACAGTCATAAATATTCGCAACTCATGCAAAACAATCAGACAAAAAGGTCTGTCAATCAAATACTATTGGGTTCCAGGACACGTTGATGTCAAAGGCAATGAACTGGCTGACAGTCACGCTAAACGGGCAGCATTAGTTGCAAAAAGCGGAAAATACGCTGAGGCTAAAATAAACAAACAGCATATATACAGCTTGATCAATAAATCTGTCCAGACAAAGTGGCAGAGACAATATAATAATTCCAAAAAAGTTAGCCACATACAGCGATCAATAGAAAAAGTTGGAACCAGAGCTATCCTGGGAGAGAAAAACAGGAAAACATTCTGCATTACAAACCAAATGTTAAGTGGCCATACAAAGCTCAATAGCCACCTAAAGAAAATCAATCCCATACTCCCTTCAGACAAGTGCCACAACTGTGACAGGATAGAGACCATTGATCATTTCATACACCACTGCTCCAAATACAGCGAGATTCGTGAGAGACTATTTTATGAGGCTAATAGTATTCTTCTAGAAAGTGAATATAACCCAGAATTGGACATCAAGACTCTGTCAGGTCTGAACAAAACTCTAAAACCAGACATCAACAAAAGGTTGAACTACGCTTTTACAACCTTCTTGATGAAAACAAAAAGATTTTAATTGTCTAACTCATATAAACTTTAAATGTAAATAAGTTACAAGCTAAGGAACTTTAGTGATTTTAAGAAAAAACAAAAATAAAAATAAAAAGAATCTACAAAAACACTAGAGACAGTCACAAGAGTAAAGCACCATTGAAAAAACAGCACCAGAGACTATTAGGTGACATGATAGCACCGTATATATGGACTTAACCAACCAACCATGGTGAGCACTGTACACAGTATCTGAAAAATTGGTTTTATCCAAGTGCAAATTCCAAAGCCAGTGCCTCGATAACGGCAGACAATGGAAAATAAGAATCAGACAAAATTAAACTATTATCTATTACATTCTCCTTCATCATAAAACCATTTGTTTGTCTTACTTGATTTTGACATCTTTTAGTGGAAGCTTAGACAAATGCTTTGCCCGCCACTAGGGACTTTTAGTCCATACACATTGATATTGAAGATTAGCACTGCCACATATCTCAAATTGAAAATAACTTTGCATGGGTATGATGGGATCTTCTTCAAATACTATCTAATAACAACATTCATCCCCTACCTCATTTTACATTGTATGAATGCACAAAGTGTCAGCAGGTTCGACCCCAGCTGATTACAGAATGATTTAATAAAATACACTTGTCAAGGTCGTTCAAGGTTAGAGTAACCCAATGACATTGGCTAGCTTTATCTCAGGAAAAAACATCATAAATCAAATTATCTAAGCTTTCAGAAAATAACTCTTTCACAAGGATAAATCTGTTTCCTTATTAAGTGTCGAACGTGAAGTAGATATTGTTTTATTCGTCTAAAATGTGGCAACATCATTCGACAATTTTTTTTTGATCAACAACTTGTTTTTTGATGAAGCCATTCTTCATTTTGACCCCGATTTCCATGATTTCAATCGATCTCACTTCTTTCAAATATCGTCCAAACATGCAGACGATATTAATACACCATGATAGATATGCATCTGACCAAATTATTGTATAAATCGTACTTACTTGGAGATTATTTACGAGCACAAAATTTTAATGACACCGGCCAAGATTTCAGCAACTGCGCAAAGAACGTGCGCAATCGTGTTTATGACGTCATTAATTTCCCGGGGATTTTGAACTCGTTGGAAAGGGGTGTGACCTCTAGGGTGTGCATTAAATGTAGGATTTTGATTGGTTGTTATTTATGGGTGTGGTGTAATGTCAACACAACCGCGTGCTGGAAACCTTTAAAATAATCATTAGAGGTCATTTCATATTAATTAATGAGCTTATGTTATTGTCGTCCGTGATTTATCATTGGGGATTACAGTACACGACTGAATGCTGAGAAAACTGTTTTCACTTGAACTCGTTTGGTTTGCTTTATGGACCAAAATTCTTGGTGTGATACCCGCTGTCATATAATTGTTTTAGTTTGTCTTTTTCATCAACACATTTACGTGTCTCTGCTCAAAACAATTTCAAGATTAAATGAGATTAAATGCAGTTCAGCATCCCTTAGCACCAGGATTCAACGATAGACAAGGCAAATAAATGAAAGAGCGGATCATTCCTCACAGTTCTTGTGGAAGAAACATTTTGAAATATCTTCTACAAACCTTTGGTGCTCAGGAATGATGCATGCCTATTTTCCAGGGACGCATCTCCATCTAAAAAACAGTCCCTGGCCATTATCACAGCTTGAACTTCACTTCATCTCTTTCGCCCCAGGGCACGCAGTTCTTCTTTCATCCAGGGCTCTTTCGTCTCAACATCATAAAATAAATCCCCGGGGACTGACTCAGAAAAGTAAACTTAGCTGATGTGTGACTAAAGTGTGCGAAGATGTATACTTTTTTTTGTAGATTCAAAACAATTTTTTGGGCAATCGCATCCCCCGACTGAAAGCTTGTTACGCCCTTGTAAGTGAATATATAAGGGTTATGTACTGGGAAATATTTATATCTCCCCTTGGTCCCTTCGATCCCTCGGGGAGATATAAATATATCCCTCAGGATATACCCTATATCCAAAACCGACCGTACATAACTGGTGTATCTCATACTTGAGTGGGTTAAGGGTAGATATAACTTTTTCCACCTTTTTCAAATGACAAGATAGGCCTATAGTAAAAGCAAAATTTATATTTAACATTTTCGTAATATTCTTTTTATTCAATACAATGAAATTGTAACATTTAAACTTTAAAAAATTTAAAATTTAAAATTTAAAATTTTTTAAAAATGTTGATTTTTAAACTTTTGAAAAATTCCCGGAAGCGGGATGGATATATTATATCTGCCCGCATTTGGCTTGGAGCGGGACATATACAATATATCCTGCCCGCTCCTCATATATGATATATATTCCCGGGTGATATCTACCCCAAACCCACTTAAGTATGAGATACAACAGTATACAGTCTACTTGATTAATCCTAGTGTGGAATGGAGTAAATAATGTTTTAGTACGTTATTTGTTGAATTTGATGATCTGAAAATTTGCTGCTAAAATGGCAGAAAAATATTCGAAAATGAAGATACCAAAAACTTTTTTCGAAAGTCGATTTTTAATATATGACCCTTGTGTTTGTGAATTGAAACGGATAGAGAGAAAAGGCTCATAATCGATTTGTACCATTTCTAAATACTATCTGGATTGGGACTTAGATAGGTAAATAGAAAATGACATATTTAAGGGGCAATATTTCTTAACACAAAAAGAAGATCATGCCGATCTTTGAGTTTATTGGTGTACAGTTCAAAGAGCATTATTCAGATAACAACTTTAAAAAGAAAATTACGATCGCAAGTACGTAGGTGCAAATTGCAACACACACGCAGCATGAAAGTCAAGAGCTCATGGGAATTTAAGGTATGTAGAATGCTCAAAGAATTAGTGAATTATTAAAAACAATAAATCTATTTGTATATATCTCAGAATTGTAATTTACGAATGTGACAATTTATCTTCAATTTGTTGTTTTGACTCACATAATTTTTATAATCAAGTTCTCTTTGATGGACTTTCGATTTAAGATTGATATATACTTGTACACAGCAGCCCTCGTTATGTAGTATGGAGGGTGAAATCTATCATGTTTTAAATTTTTTTTAGATAGAACAATAGGGAAATCTCTCTCGAAACCCCTAGATGATGTCACAATAGAGCAAGCTGACCAGCTCAAAAGATTTGTTGAAGTACTTTATAACAAGGTCAATGTTGACTATTCCGACCCTGCTGTTAAAGAGCAAAGAGACTTTGTCCAGAGAATTGTTAATAAAATTGCAAACAAAATTGGTAAGATATGTCCCATATTGAAAGTTACCCGGATCCTAAAAACTGGCAGTTTTTACAAGCGTACAAAAGTGCTACAAGCAAATGAATTTGATTATATACTCCTCCTTGCGCTAAGCTACGACAAGTCACAAATTGAGATTTTCGACGACAGCAAAGATGAGAACTTTAACTGGGGACAAATCCTAATTAAAGACCCGACACTGAGAGAACATCTGAATGATCTATGGGAGAAAACATGCCATGAAAATCCAAAAACAAACTTATGCAGACATTACAATGATAATCTGTCCCGTATAACGTTCACGAAGTTGATCACTGAAAATGGTAAACTAACGAGCAATATATGTCGACTTTTGCTCCATCAGATCCACAAGTGTCTTTTACAACTCGAGGATCGCTTGGGGATGAAATATTTGGGACGCCATGATTTAAAAAGGATGGATGAAGGTGACATTGAGCTTATTGTCGTACATAAGAATGAAATCATGTTGGACCTTTATCCATCGGGTCCAAGTATTGGACTAAGAGTTGGAGGGCCTCTATGTAGGACAGACGTAGATTTAAGTTTCTGTATCGAGGAATCATTTACTTCGAGAGGTCGCCGTATTCTTACCCCCTACACTCACACCGAAACCCTTTGGGGGACACACTTTTGTGACGACCCTTGCTCACATTGGACTTTCTCCTTGTGTGACCATCCCTCGGGAAGCAGAATCAAACTTGATGTACACCACAGAAAAATTGTTCTCGTATTTAAATACATCGGTGCAAGACTATTTAAGAGACACCCGGTAGCAAGCTCGTATGCAATCACTACTTTGGTAGAGACCCACCAACAGGATTGCGCCAAACCACATTTAGGGAACTGTTTTATCGATATTTTAAATCGATATTGCAGATTCTACTACGTGGTACACGAATACAATGGTCACGACTTCGGTGGTCTTTGGGATATTGATTTTCCAGAAGTGAATCTGTTAAGTCCTTTCCTGATGGCGATGGACGATCCGCCAGTGAATCTACTTGAATATGTATCATGTTTAGTGGAGTTTGTAAGAACTGAAGAAGATTGGGAGAAAAAGCTCAAACTCGAAATGGATGATGTAAAACAATTCGAAGTTACATGGGACCAGATGGTGGAACAATACCAAGAGGAAACAAGACGAAAAAAGTAGTTGAAAATGACACAAAATATTGTAAATGTCTTTCACCGAGCAACGTATTCACCCCGGAATAGCCTGAAAACATTAGTCGGACATTAATATGCTAAATGTCACAACCTGCCATTTGTTACAGAAGCTGAACACCGAATACCGTTACAAACACTGAACAAGGCCACAAAAAGTTGAAGACTGTAATAATATGTCACCGTTTCTGGTGGTGACATAAAAATGCATACTCGTCAGATTTGACAATTTGTTCTTTGAACATTCTACAATTACAAGTAACAGTAGTCCATTTTATATACTAAAAATATATTTAAGAACTTTACATACTTACAATATTAAACTAAAACACTAGCTGTGAAAGTCACCAAAAATAAACAGGAAATAAACTATCTTCCTCCACTTGGCAAAATTGGCTACCATGCCTTAATCTACAGCTATGGATACAGATATCCATTAAAAGATAAGCAGTCATGTAATGCATAGTATTATTAATATTAATCAATGAATGCCATTACCAGGACCCATTACTCATCAAAATTATTTCCACTCAATTGCACACAAAGTCGATGAATGTCATTTAAATAATTTATCCAATTGCTAATCAAAATTATCTCCACTAGGCCTAATTTACACTCAAAATCAATGAATATCGATTCATATGGCAAATTACTATCAAAATTATCTACACTCAGTTACAATCAAAATTAATGAATGCCATATGCCAAATTACTCATTAAAATTATCTACTCTCATTTACACTCAAAATCAATGAATATCATAAAGGCCAATTGCTTATCAAAATTATCTACACTAATTTACACTCAAAATAAATCAATGAATGCCATATCGCCAATTAAAATTTGTTCACACTCAAAACCAAGGAATGTCATATAGCCAATTGCTCCTCATGATTATGTATACTCATTTACACTTAAAATCAATGACTGTCATATGACCAATTGCTCATCAAAATTATCTACTCCCATTTACACTCAAAATCAATGAATATCATATGGCCAATTGTTCATCAAAATTATCTACACTAATTTACACTCAAGATAAATCAATGATTGCCATATCGGCAATTGCTCCTCATGATTATGTATACTCATTTACACTTAAAATCAATGAGTGTCATATGACCAATTGCTCATCAAAATTATCTACTCTCATTTACACTCAAAATCAATGAATATCATATGGACAATTGTTCATCAAAATTATCTACACTAATTTACACTCAAGATAAATCAATGAATGCCATATCGCCAATTGCTCCTCATGATTATGTATACTCATTTACACTTAAAATCAATGACTGTCATATGACCAATTGCTCATCAAAATTATCTACTCTCATTTACACTCAAAATCAATGAATATCATATGGACAATTGTTCATCAAAATTATCTACACTAATTTACACTCAAGATAAATCAATGAATGCCATATCGCCAATTGCTCCTCATGATTATGTATACTCATTTACACTTAAAATCAATGAGTGTCATATGACCAATTGCTCATCAAAATTATCAACACTCATTTACTGACTATAAGAATATCATTATCTAAAGTCATGTCATGGTCTAGTCTTGGACTTTTAAGCACAGCAATTAATTAATTCCAAAAAATGATGCTGTGTGTTTTCCTACATTTACAGAGAAGAGAGAGAGTTCCACATGGCAGCTGAGATTCCAAGGTGTCTTCATATATACAGTAACTACCCTCCTATATCACTTGTTGTTGTTCTCTTATCTCACTTTGGTGCCTGAAAACAGACATTTTTAAGGTTAATCTCATTTAAAATACATATGTACAGTTATGTTACGGTACAATGTGTTATGAAATGCAAGCCTAAGCTTGTATTCGCGCAACTAACGCCTGCCGGCTAACGGATTTACTTGCTATTTTATGGGCAACTCATTTAATATGAATAGTACCTGCCACTGTTCTGTTCATATTTAAATGAGTTAGCCATAAAACAGCAAGTTAATCCAGTAGCTGACAGGCGTTAGTTGCATTCGCGAATACAAGGTAAGTCTAAGTGACATTTTTGGCTTGATGTGCCTGAAATGGAAAAACTTAGATGCTCTCAATTATGGTGGTTCAGATATATATACAGTATTCTCTTTAACATATACCTGTCTGTGATTATAAGTGGTTGGACCATGTAGCCATCTTGGCGTTTCTTGCAACAACTGCCGCAGCAGCCGCAGCAACAACAGCAGCATGTACATAGAAGTATAATGACCAATAGCACTCCAACACCTGCTACTGCAAACATCCACTTTTTGACACTGAAATAAACAGTATTTATAAACATACAAAGTTATTTTAAACCTATTAGTAAAGTCTGTCTCATGTGCCCCAGTGGGACAAGCTAAAAATCATAGGTTCTGGGCCGATATAAAGATGGCACCACCAACAGCAGATCGATTACCATGCCATCTTTATCAAAAAATTATTCCAATCGCCCTTTGCCTATGCTAAAAATGTTCGAATTAGCAGGTGTTCATATTTCAAGTTTTTTTAATATGTGAGTCAATGGGAGATAACAAAAATGAGACTTAAAAAGTGTTCTGATTAGCAGGTGTTCACATTTCAAAGTTTAGCCAAGAAAAAGTGTTCACATTGATAGGTGTTTGCATTGTAGAGGTGTTCCGGCTGTTGTCAGACATTCCAAATACAGTAAAACCTGTGTCAGTGGAACACCTTTGGTACTACATAATAGTGTGCAACTTTTTAGGTTTTCCCCTTTCAGAGATTCATTTTACATTAATTGATCAGCAAAAGATCTTTGAAAGCATTACACTTATGGAAGTGTTCCACTTAAAGAAATGTTCCACTTAGAGAGGCTTTCCACTTTGAGAAGTGTTCCACTTAGAGAGATGCTCCACTTAGAGAGATGTTCCACTAAACAAATTTTACTGTATGTATGTGCTCATTCACCTACCAGAATTGACCAATGTATGCGCCATCACACTCAGGTACACACAGATCGGTGTCACAGTAACAGACTTCCCCATCAACCTTCACATCCCCTAGTTCACTCAGAGAAGAAAGCACCTCACTAATTATACCACTTGCTTCCTTATTACTATGGCAACCCATGCTGGTGTCACGGTCGAGCAACGGCATACATCCTCTGACCACTGCATTGACCTCAGCTGTCACTATATGGAGATCAATAAATAAACATATCTTTTTAAAATACAAAAATCAAAAGTTATCACAATTATTATTTGAAAAACGAACTACAGAGTCTGTGGATAAAATAAACATCCTCCGACAACAGCGTTGATAAAGTTACTCACCAAACAAATGTCCCTGTACAGACCCCTTAGAATATCCACATACTTCTCCAGATTGACACTCTGCTGAGGAGGAAGGAGCATTCCTACAACTGGGGTCAGAGTGACCTGTAGATGAAGTCAGATCTGAGCTACCAGCCACATCCACACATTGGAAGCATCTTAGACTCTTAGCTGAAAAATAGCAAAATTCAACTAACTTTGAGATCTTGTGAAGCCTAGTAAATAATGCACTGGCGTAGCCAGGGGGTTGCAACAGGTTTCGGCGCATCCCTGTCTTGAGTTTAGCCTCGTCCCTTTTCAGAAAAATTGACTCGTTGCTTTTTTAATTTAAACTAGCAATCTACCCGTTTGACTGGATCACCAAGAGTCACAGCAGCCCCCACATGGCAGCAGCCCCCATAAAATGCTAAATACGTGTTTGACCTTTACTGATTCTTGAATTTCGGTGAACATGTCCGAAGGCTTTGAAACGCAATACCTCGATATTCACCTTTGATCTTGAGATGACCTCGGCCAATAAATATTGACTTTGTCCTCAGGTCACCTACATTAATCATGAGTCACCAAGGGTCACAGTATCCTTCAAGTGCCTTAAAAGCCAAAAAACTTAGACAATGACCTTTGACCTTGAGTTGACCATGACCTTGACTAATATAACCTCAGGTCGACTTGTACCAAATACCAAGATATTGATCTCTGACCTTCGAATAAACTTGACCCATAGGTTGACCTTGACCTAAGGTCAACTTATCATGGGTCGTCAAGGGTCACAACACAGACCGATGGTCTTAAAAAGCCAAATACCTAGATATTGACATTCGACCTTAACCAAAACATTGACCTTGACATAAGGCCACCTGAGCATTGCTCGCCAAGGGTCACAGAAGCCCTAAAAACCTTTAATAAGCAAATGCCTAGATGTTGACCTTTGACCTAGGAATGACCTTGACCTCAGGTCACCTAATCATGGGTCCCCAAGAGTCACAACATCACAGACCGGAAGGGTCTGACTCTTAAAAAGTCAAATACCTAGATACTGACCTTTGACCTCATAGAATGCCCACCAATGCACTTAGTATGTTGACCTTATCCCGTTCCCGGACTATGGTCTATAGTCCGGGAACGGGATAATGTTGACCAAGTATGAGAGAGAGACAGAGAGATACAGAAATTATAGTAAGAACCTTTGACCTTTTCCCCATGAATTTTGTTCATGGTGCAGAGGAAGAGACTGAGAACTAGGATGTGATTCATAGGAAGTCACCCCTCCCTCTTATTTTCTCCTGTAGCCTACATGAATATAGAGAATATTAGAGAGAGGGGGTGACTTACTCCCCTAATATGCTCGAAACAAAAGAGATGGAAGCTTCAACTTAGTGCAAGGATGGTGATCTATGTCGATGATGGAGACGTTAGTAGATGCAATCCTTTGAAAAAAACCTGGGTACGCGTATTCGATGATCTCACGGACACGTGCACAATAAACTCAGTTGTTCCCGGATGCGGGGAATCTGTTTATTATGGTAGATAAACAACCGGGATAAACAAGCACTTCTTTAGTTCTTACATACCTGGATTTGTCAAAGCTGCGAGCATAACGATACCAAACGATAGTATAACCACGAACTCCATTGTAATATTTCCACAGTTCACAAGTACCTTCTTTAGTTCAGAGGATCGAGATTCGAGGAAGTGCCTATATCTGACTTGTTTGAAATCCCGGGTTTTAATGCAGCTGTATTTTGAACTTCTCGGAAGTCACTGGTCACGTGACTATAAGGAAATTCAACAAGGCCATAAGAAGCAGGTTCTTTGTTTTACCTCCCATTTCTTAAATATTATTTTGAGTAAATCAGAAAGGACAAACACATCAAAATGTCATTAATATATCAGAGTCCATGTTAATCTGTTAATTATGAAGCCAAATTACGATCCCAAGAAATGAAAAGGGATTGAAAAGTGGCTTTGAAACATACAAAATATTTCAACTCACCGGGCCAAGAGTGTATGGGCCTAAGGGGATGTTTGTTAAAAAAGTCAACAAATCTGCAAGATTGAATGTTTTGAATGGCGAGATTAAGGATGACATAAGAATATAACCTCCTGCTTATGAAACCTTGAAAATTGGAAAGGGGGTCATTGTAACCGCGCCACTCCGTCTATGTCTATGTCTATGTCGATAATCTGCAAAAGGCTAATAAGCCCATATAAAGCAGATATATAATTTAACAGTGATAGAATTTGAATAGAATATAATTTAAAACCTTAACATTTAAAAATAGATCTATGGTTTGTAACTCATTAAAATTAAAAGGAGCTTTCGAAGTCCCTTTATGTCGCCCTGGGGCGACTGTTAGGCTACCGCGTTGACATCACCCCTCTTTCCGCCATTTCTGTTTTGAAAACGGCTGAGTAAAAAATCGATCCATTTCAAGCTGAGGCCCAGGAATACATTATAAATGTTAAGAAAGTCCCCTAGTCACGCCTAACCATCGATAACGTACGGTGATTAAACACTGGCGCCGGTGTATACTTTGGATGCACGGTGTCACTATTAACCGATTTGAAGCAAAAACAACTTGTAGATTTTGATGTAGGTTTTAAAAAAAATTCGATCTGAGCAATACATTAAGGATTTCAAGTTATTGAATATGACTTTTTAAAATTCCACTGGCGGATCTGGGGGGGGGGGGGGGGGGCTGAATCCCGTTTATGATATATCTGGAAATTTTCAATAATTCATTCAAATTGAAGTAATCCTGTAATTGTTCTGTTTCAATTTTAAATGCATCTGACCCCCCTGTCTCAGTGTTAGTGTTACGAAAAATACGTTGCCTGCATTAGGGTGAACTGTGAATTGAGTAAATTCAATGGAACAACGTACATTCGAGTTGGCAACGTACACTTATGATATTTTAAATTATAGCCAAAACGTTAATGCTTATAAATCTTCAACAGACCTTAATTATGTACATATTCTCATAAAAATACTTGACACTCTAGACGACAGGGAAAGAAATGATCAAAGTAAATGTGTAAAACACAACATTTTCCAATCGACCAAATTAGCTTATATGGGTAGATTGACTACAAAAAAGTCGAGCACTGTTCGAAAATCTTTTCCGTTATTAGAAAGTTAAATGTCTTCCTAAACGAATACACACACAATCAAACATGAAATCCTTAATGTATTCCTCAGATTAATTTTTTAAAACCTACATCATGGTCTGCTTCAAATCGCTTTTTCGATAATTTCGATAAATCGATAATTTACATGGAATGAGACTGACTTTTTTAATGACTGTAGGCTTATACCCGGGCCTCAGATTTCAAGTGTCCGATTTCCAAAGAAGGGGGCCTTTTGCGTAGGCTAGTACATGGTATACTACTCACGGTACAGACTTGACACCCCGGGCCACAAATGGCAGAATTTTTTTTAGTGGTATTTCTATAAGTGACTAAAAATGACCCCCGGGAATGACCATAGTCCTGTTAAATCTATTGAGCAATATCAATAACTTGTGAATTTGAAATTCCCGGGGACTATTCTTGGAAAAAGTATATGGTATGCTCAATTTCCACGTGACTTCTATTGGCCAATGAAATAGCTTTTAAGAATCGCCATTGAAAGAAAATATTTTGGTTTTAAAAACTTTCATAAAATATAAAGAAAGTCTGAATATGGAGGTAAGGTGATGCCTTGAAAGCTGAAAACTAGCAAATTGATATGGAGGATCACACAGTTGAGGTTTGTATAGTTCTATCCATGACTTATTTTCATCAGAAATTAAACTGGGAAGATTTTGGAAGTAGGCCTAATTTTTTTTTCAGTTTTTCACTTCAGCCATAGGCCTAGATCCTGGCCAGATTCTTTTGTAGTATGATCAGTACACACATGTTGGCCAGATCGTTTTGTAGTTGGATCTCATAGGCTCAAAGAATAATACAGAAGATGCGTCACCTTAAATTGGAAAATTTCAAAAAAGTGACCACCTTTCAAAACGTTCCTTACACAAAATGGTACCTGCTTCCGTGACAGATTTTGCACTTATTTTATAGCTGAGATCTTCATCTTTCTATTTCTACTTGATTGGTTCGAGTAAATAACCTATGGATGCAGTTATTTGACTTTTAAGGTCAGGGTGCATGATGGGAAATTTTCTGCATTCCTCAATTGAGTCACATGTTATTTTTCAAACAAGAATCACTCCTTCCCTTCATTGTCTATATCTTCCAGTTTTGCACAAAGAGTGCACTTATGTGCCTAGAAAAGACTTGTGAGAAGAATGTTTTGATAAAGTGTATAAAAAACAAGAAAATTCAGTGAAAAAAATCAGAAAATTTTCAGAAATTTTTTTCACTGAATTTTCTCATTTTTTATACATTTTACAAAACAAACCTTCTCACAAGGCTTTTCTAGGCACAGAAGTGCACTCTTTGTGCAAACTTGGAAGATGTAGACAATGTGGGGAAGGAGTTATTCATGTTTGAAAAATAACATGTGACTCAATTGAGGAATGCAGAAAATTTCCCAACATGCACCCTGTCCTTAATACGGCGAATATTTTTCACGAGATCCGGACTCTTGTGTGTCAAAATAATCATTGAACTGATGACGTCACATTTCTGGAACCACGAGAGCACCATTCAGATTTGGACAGACAAGAGTCCAGCGATAAAATATCACTGTTTTGGCCTCTTATCAACACAGTATTGCTTGAATAACGGTCATTGGTGATAAAAAAGTTAAAGAATAACAAGACGCTTCGAATGAGGTATGATTTGTCTCATATTTTTCAGAAATGGCTCCAAAATCTTCATTTTAAAATTTGAAATTTTCTGAGGTGTCTCATCTTGAGGAATATTTATTGAGCTACTGATTCTACTACAAAAGAATCTGGCCGGGATCTATGGATCAGTAGCTCAATAAATATTCCTCCAGATGAGACACCAAAAAATTTCGAAATTTTAAAATGATAATTGTGCCTTTGTTTTTGTAACCATAAGATGGGGATACACTGGCATCTTTTAACTTTTAACTTTTCGTGTTAATTTGTAACAGAGTACCAGTGAACTCGTATCAGGAGGTTGAAACTTCATGAGAAATTCCTATGAGGCGTTCTCTTACTATTACGTCATTACAATGTAATCCTTAGTAACAACAATTTACTAGGTTGTTCAATAAGTTCATGGAAAAATGCTCTCATTTCAAGGATTCTTGATCTTTTCTCATAGAATTTTCACACAATGTATAAAAAATACTTTTCGATTGATTCTTAAAATATCAGCATCTCTAATTTGATTGGTCAAAAATAAGGGTTACTATGGTAACTTGACTTTTGGGTAGGCGGGGCACTTTTTACGTCACACAATTTACCATTACAGAAATCTATTAATATGTGCAAATGAAGGATCCCTATTTTTTATTTGTTCTTATATAATTACAAATGTTCTGAGGGAAAATTGATGTTCATAGTATATAGGAATTCTTCACAAATTTTCTGCTCATGACCCGTAGAAAATAATATACATGTTGTAATGTTTCTACAGATATGCTATGCTGAGGGTTACCAAATTATTTCTTTAATTGCATCTATTTCAGAGTTTGGCAGAAGTGTTCAGATGTTTCATCTGTATGGAAAAGTTGCGGGATGCCCGCCTTTGTCCACACTGTTCCAAACTATGTTGTTTCATGTGTATAAGAAGGTGGCTGACAGAACAAAGATCACAGTGTCCACATTGCAGGTAAGCTTTTTGTAAAGGCTGATTGAACCAGTGTTTAGGTGGTTTCGTACGATGAGAATTTTTAAGTAAGTTTCATGATTATAATTTTAAAAGATTAAAACTTGTTTCATTTATCATATGGATAGGAACCAGCCTTTTGTGAGTATGGAACTACCTTAATGCAAATGAGGAGGGTAACCACTTGAGATTTTGGAAATCAGTATATGCATCCACTTGAAAATGAGAAAATCATAAAAATCAATTTTGTATTCACTTTAGAAAAAATCTTTGAGAACATTGGTTTATGCATATTGATAAAGAAAATAATATTTATTAGAAAGAATGTTTGATGAATTTGTTCAAATTTTAATCAGAGTCGGCATACTCACATGTAAATTATAACTGATTGGGTACCTATTAGCTTTATGTTAAATCCTGGTTTCTTGGGGATAAATATCTTGATACCAGCTCAACACATCAAATTCAGCTATTGGTATAAAATTATTCCACTTATTTCAGAGCTTCGTTACACTTACATGAGTTGGTAAACTGTCGCTGGGCAGAGGAGGTGACGCAACAGTTGGACACATTACAACTATCAGCACCACCTATCAGAGTGGATGAAGTAGAGAGGGACAAGTAAGTCAGCCATGTATAAAACATAAAACCTGTTTTTTTTAGGAAATATGTACACAAATAAAACAGTTTTATAAATCCTGACTTTTTATATCACCACCAGAAGTGATGATATAAATTGTTAGTCTCCAACTTTTTTGGAGACATTTGGTGTTTGGAGTTCAATGGTTGATGTTTGGTGTCTGTAAAAAATGGCAGGTGGTGACATTTTGAATATAAATGCCTTGTTAAAGTCCTGTGACTCATTAGCTTAATGTTAAATTTGAGTCTGCATAATTGGAATACCTCCCAGATGGTTTTGGAAATATTCCAGAGGTAGTACTGTACTTTGAATCAAACACATATTGAACAGCCAATAGAATTAATGTTTAAAAAAGTAAAAAAAATGTTGACTCAGCTGTAAATTCTCTTGTCTTTCAGATGTGAAAACCATAAAGAAAAGTTGAGTGTTTATTGCTGGACATGCAGGAAATGTATCTGCCATCAATGTGCCCTATGGGCTGGTGCAGTGAGTATTGACTCTATTATCTAATAATAGGAAGTGTATCTGCCATCAATGTGCCCTATGGGCTGGTGCAGTGAGTATTGACTCTATTATCTAATAATAGGAAGTGTATCTGCCATCAATGTGCCCTATGGGCTGGTGCAGTGAGTATTGACTCTATTATCTAATAATAGGAAGTGTATCTGCCATCAATGTGCCCTATGGGCTGGTGCAGTGAGTATTTTGTCCATTATCTAATAATAGGAAGTGTATCTGCCATCAATGTGCCCTATGGGCTTGTGCAGTGAGTATTGACTCTATTATATAATAATAGGAAGTGTATCTGCCATCAATGTGCCATATGGGCTGGTGCAGTGAGTATTGACTCTATTATCTAATAATAGGAAGTGTATCTGCCATCAATGTGCCCTATGGGCTGGTGCAGTGAGTATTGACTCTATTATCTAATAATAGGAAGTGTATCTGCCATCAATGTGCCCTATGGGCTGGTGCAGTGAGTATTGACTCTATTATCTAATAATAGGAAGTGTATCTGCCATCAATGTGCTCTATGGGCTGGTGCAGTGAGTATTGACTCTATTATCTAATAATAGGAAGTGTATCTGCCATCAATGTGCTCTATGGGCTGGCGCAGTGAGTATTGACTCTATTATCTAATAATAGGAAGTGTATCTGCCATCAATGTGCCCTATGGGCTGGTGCAGTGAGTATTGACTCTATTATCTAATAATAGGAAGTGTATCTGCCATCAATGTGCTCTATGGGCTGGCGCAGTGAGTATTGACTCTATTATCTAATAATAGGAAGTGTATCTGCCATCAATGTGCCATATGGGCTGGTGCAGTGAGTATTGACTCTATTATCTTATAATAGGAAGTGTATCTGCCATCAATGTGCCCTATGTGCTGGTGCAGTGAGTATTGACTCTATTATCTAATAATAGGAAGTGTATCTGCCATCAATGTGCTCTATGGGCTGGCGCAGTGAGTATTGACTCTATTATCTAATAATAGGAAGTGTATCTGCCATCAATGTGCTCTATGGGCTGGCGCAGTGAGTATTGACTCTATTATCTAATAATAGGAAGTGTATCTGCCATCAATGTGCTCTATGGGCTGGCGCAGTGAGTATTGACTCTATTATCTAATAATAGGAAGTGTATCTGCCATCAATGTGCTCTATGGGCTGGCGCAGTGAGTATTGACTCTATTATCTAATAATAGGAAGTGTATCTGTCATCAATGTGCTCTATGGGCTGGTGCAGTGAGTATTGACTCTATTATCTAATAATAGGAAGTGTATCTGCCATCAATGCGCCCTATGGGCTGGTGCAGTGAGTATTGACTCTATTATCTAATAATAGGAAGTGTATCTGCCATCAATGTGCCCTATGGGCTGGTGCAGTGAGTATTGACTCTATTATCTAATAATAGGAAGTGTATCTGCCATCAATGTGCCCTATGTGCTGGTGCAGTGAGTATTGACTCTATTATCTAATAATAGGAAGTGTATCTGCCATCAATGTGCTCTATGGGCTGGCGCAGTGAGTATTGACTCTATTATCTAATAATAGGAAGTGTATCTGTCATCAATGTGCTCTATGGGCTGGTGCAGTGAGTATTGACTCTATTATCTAATAATAGGAAGTGTATCTGCCATCAATGTGCCCTATGGGCTGGTGCAGTGAGTATTGACTCTATTATCTAATAATAGGAAGTGTATCTGCCATCAATGTGCCCTATGTGCTGGTGCAGTGAGTATTGACTCTATTATCTAATAATAGGAAGTGTATCTGCCATCAATGTGCCCTATGGGCTGGTGCAGTGAGTATTGACTCTATTATCTAATAATAGGAAGTGTATCTGCCATCAATGTGCTCTATGGGCTGGCGCAGTGAGTATTGACTCTATTATCTAATAATAGGAAGTGTATCTGCCATCAATGTGCCCTATGGGCTGGTGCAGTGAGTATTGACTCTATTATCTATTAATAGGAAGTGTATCTGCCATCAATGTGCCCTATGGGCTGGTGCAGTGAGTATTGAGTCTATTATCTAATAATAGGAAGTGTATCTGCCATCAATGTGCTCTATGGGCTGGTGCAGTGAGTATTGACTCTATTATCTAATAATAAGAAGTGTATCTGCCATCAATGTGCTCTATGGGCTGGTGCAGTGAGTATTGACTCTATTATCTATTAAAGGACAACTGAAATAGCTTTTCTCAACTTGCAGCTACAAAAATGCTGTTTTCTCCATTGTAAGCCCAACGTAGAGTTCTTGCGATAGCCATTATAAAATAAATGTTAGATAACTGCTAACGGTCATGGATAACGAAATAAAACTAACTGATAAATCAAATTGGCCCCCACGTGATTAGCAACGTCATATACAAAATATAGCTTTGGTTTATTGGTTCCTTAGTAATCACAACGTCACAGCAACCATAGGATTGTTGTGTAAACAAATAACAAAACATTTTGGCATTATGACGTCATGATCCAATGGACCAAAACGGGCCACGTGGGGACCAGTGAGAGATCACGTGGGGGCCAATAACATCACAACCAATTCGAATAATGCTTATTAAGCAGCTATAACGATCGTTAGAGTGAAATAATTTTCACACTACTGATGAGAAAACATGTCCAAATACTTCTATCAAAAAATTATATTGATTCCTTTAGGTTAAAAATACCATTTCATATCTGCTTTAATAGGAAGTGTATCTGCCATCAATGTGCCCTATGGGCTGGTGCAGTGAGTATTGACTTTATTATCTAATAATAGGAAGTGTATCTGCCATCAATGTGCCCTATGGGCTGGTGCAGTGAGTATTTTGTCCATTATCTAATAATAGGAAGTGTATCTGCCATCAATGTGCCCTATGGGCTGGTGCAGTGAGTATTTTGTCCATTATCTAATAATAGGAAGTGTATCTGCCATCAATGTGCCCTATGGGCTGGTGCAGTGAGTATTGACTCTATTATCTAATAATAGGAAGTGTATCTGCCATCAATGTGCCCTATGGGCTGGTGCAGTGAGTATTTTGTCCATTATCTAATTATAGGAGTGCCATCAATGTGCCCTATGGGCTGGTGCAGTGAGTATTGACTCTATTATCTAATAATAGGAAGTGTATCTGCCATCAATGTGCCCTATGGGCTGGTGCAGTGAGTATTGACTCTATTATCTAATAATAAGAAGTGTATCTGCCATCAATGTGCCCTATGGGCTGGTGCAGTGAGTATTTTGTCCATTATCTAATAATAGGAAGTGTATCTGCCATCAATGTGCCCTATTGGCTGGTGCAGTGAGTATTTTGTCCATTATCTAATAATAGGAAGTGTATCTGCCATCAATGTGCCCTATGGGCTGGTGCAGTGAGTATTTTGTCCATTATCTAATTATAGGAGTGCCATCAATGTGCCCTATGGGCTGGTGCAGTGAGTATTGACTCTATTATCTGAAGATGGAGGGGCCAATGATAATGTTGTTAGCCACACTATTATATTGCTTTAATGATTTTCAAACTTCTTTGTTTTGTAAATGGGGAAATAAATATAGCAAATCTTTATGGTTTGGCCTATTAGGTATTCTCCTTCATCATAAACACATTGTATTTCCATTCACAATTTTGCACACAACTTTTTGTTTTGTTAACATGCTTCGAATTAGAAAAATATGAGATGAAAGGATGATGATTCACATTGATATTGGATTATATTTCATAAAATTTATTAATTTTCAAGAGAGATGAGTTTCAGAAAAATATCACCTCATTTCTATTGTAATCCCAACAATTATTAGGAAAATATAAAATCAATTCTGAAATTAAAAATGAAAGAGATGATTCTATTCTTCATTGATCTACGGATAGAAATTCCAAAGTAAAATAATAAAACATTTTAACGAAACAATTGCTGGGCTTTCAATAGCGGGGGGCGAGAGTCCAAAATCGCCGTTTGTTTTCTATAATTCGCCAGTTGTCAGAAGCCAAATATTGTATTTAGTTTTAGGGGGGGATTAAAAAAGTCACATCATTTGATCAGTACTTACTGAACGCCCTGTACATTGTATACACACAGGTTGCATTCTATTCACACAGGTTGCATTCTTTATTGAGTGTTCAACCCGGGAAGTGCATTTGAATTTGTAAAATGAAACCTGTGGAAGAGTAAATCATAATTTATTTTTATAAGAATATAAAAGGTAAAAATGGCATTCTATATAAGTTGCCCTAGTCATTCCACAGTTCAAGATGTTATTTTGTGTAGCCAGTGTCTTGTGGTCAATTGAATTGACAATATCACACATGGAAATGACTTTGGAAAACCTGCAATACGTAAAATCTTTTAAATCACCTCTCAATAGGATTCAATGTTCAAAACTTTGAGATACATTGTCGCACTTTTTGTGACATTTAGTATATTTTGCCTTTAATCTAACAAGAACAATAATAAGTGGATTAGATCAAATTTAATTTCGACATTCCCTGTCCATTCATCCACTTTCGGTGCGCCGACGCTATAATTACACTGGTGCTCCACTCGATTACTCTGGTTACCGAAACGGTTCGTTTTGCTAACAAAATGTCGGAACATCTAAGGTACTATTTTTCTTTTTTCCTATTTCACACCTTGTATGCAGAATTTCCACGACATCTTTTACACAAACGTGTATCAGTATCATATGTTTAAGAAAATGTACATATTTTTGAATAAATAGTTCAGAAGACAATAGAATTGTCTATTTAATTCCTCACTTAAGTTACATAAACGGTTTTTCGAAAAACAGTTAAGATCTGCACTTTTAACCCCAACCGTTTATGTAACTTAAGTGAGGAATTTAATCGACGATTCTGTTGTCTTCTGACCTATTTTTTCGCACACATGTACATTTTCTAAAACATATGGTGCTGATACTAGTTTGTGAGAAAACATATCGTCGGGATTCTGCCTAAAACGCGTGAAATAAGGAAAAAAGAAAAATCGTACCTTAGACGTTCCAACATTTTATTACCAAAACGAACCTTTTCGGTAACCAGCGTAATTGAGCGGATCACCAGTGAATAACAAGAATTTGCATTTTCGGGAGTGTAAAATTGGTTATTTTGAATGCCGCCCCTTGTATTTCTCATCTGCCTCTTGTAAAAAAAGTTACTGAAACCACTGAATTGATTCCCATTTTTATCATTTCTTGTAGCATGCGGGCCATGAGTTTAAACCCCTTGATGAAGTTTACGAGGACCATGTGTCTAAGATTAATGAAGACGTCTCGCAGCTGAAGAGAAGACACGTTGAACTGATCAGTCTCGTACAGGAAGTGGTGAGCCATTATATTTTTCTCAGAATCATAAAAGGCAGAGGAGTGTTTAATGCTGAAAGATATCTCATGGAGTTGAATAATTCAAAAATATTTTTTATTCTCGCAAAGTCTTGTTTCATTCGATCCCTGCATTATCAAGGAGTTTCCCTGAATATTTATCAATAAAAGTTTCTGATAAATCCTGCCATTTTTTACTTCATCAGAGAAACTATTATATATTTACTAGATTGATAATGTCATTGGTTGTAGGTAGCTCTGTCCATGCAAAAATAGTATTATTTTGAGAGGGCGGGTACCAAATAAGTTCTGTCATCAAAATTCCATGAAACCTGCTTTCCTGTTCAACCTTCTAGTGTTGGCCATGATGGGTGAAGTTCTTGGCAGCCATTTTGAATTTTTCGATAAAAATGTGCAATTTGATGAGGGAGTAAAACAGGTAGATCAGAAATGGCAACAAATGATTTTCCCAAAATGAACACCAGAAATGGCAAAAAATGATATTTTTCCCCAAATGAACACCATATCATTTATTTCCCCAAATCATACCATTGGATTTTTGACTTACAGGAGCGTAATGTTGAAAGTGCCTAAAATCCCAAAGATGAGAGGGTATAAAAAAAATTTCCTCAAATGTTCGCCTTTCTTTCTCTTTTACAATGAAATAATATACTATTTTCACTTACAGGAACGTAATGTTGAAAGTGTCAAAAATGCCAAAGATGAGAGGGTGAGAGAGATCAGAAATGCTGTAGAACTGATGATTGCAAGACTAGAATCTCAACTTAAGAGCAAGTTATCAACTCTAATGGGTAGGTACTTTTATTTCCTTAGTAAATACTTACATTTACCAGTGATCTCTCCAGCATTAAAGCAAGTGGGCGCAGCACCCTTCTGAAATTTTAAAAACAGCCTGGTACCAATCTGAAAATTCATTTGCACCTTCTTGAAAATGAGAAAAATCAAACCAGCAATTACATTAATTTTGTCATAATAACGTCATTTACGAGTATTTTTAATGAGTCATGTAGACCCCCGTTGCTGGATTTACAGCAAAAACATTGACATTCGCATGTTGGTGATGATGAGCCTTTTTTAATAGATCTCATATCTTAGAAGCCTATTGGTTCAAAAAAATAATAGAAGACCTTACATATTTCCCCGTATACTGCGCCTATTAGTTTAGGAATGCAATTGTAAACTATTTCTTGAAAAAATAAATCTTCAAGATTTGTTGAAATTTCTATCAAAAATGGGCTCCCTACTCTGTTCATTTTGTCTGCTCACCGAGAGTGATACAGTTCAGGCTTTGCTTACAAAGGGCTTTATTCACATCTGCACTACTACAGTGTAACCTGTGTAAGAGGGACACCCTTGGTTTCTCCAAAAAGTGTTCCACTCAGGAGGTGTTCCACTTACTGAGGTCTATTTAACATAAGTAAATCAGTCCAGTTCCATTTATGGAGATTTTCCTCTTACAGATGTATTCTACTTACAATGGTGTTCAACTTACAGTTTTCCACACAGGAGGTGTTCCACTTACTGAGGTCTATTTTACATTAAGTAAATCAGTCCAGTTCCATTTATGGAGATTTCCCTCTTACAGAAGTATTCTACTTACAATGGTGTTCAACTTACAGTGTTCAACTCAGATGTTCCACTTACTGAGGTCCATTTAGCATTATGTAAATCAGTCAAGCGAGTCTGAAATTGTTCCATTTATGAAAGTTTTCTCTTACAGAGGTGTTCCACTATTAATAGAGCTGTTCCACTTACAGACTACAGAGGTGTTCCAATTTACAGGTTTTACTCTTAGTTTGATAATTTAAATCTTAATTATAGGTCAGAGGAACTCACTTACACAAGAGACTGAGCTGTTAGAATCAGTTCTACAAGAGGTTGAACACCAACTAAGAAGCTGCTCCAAGAGTGAGCTGATCACAAAGAGTGGGGAACTGTTAGAGATGTTTTCTCAGGTTCATCGTAAACCAATGGCGTCTTTTGTAACTGCAGCTGTACCTGCTGACTTTAACAGGTATTGTATTTTGTAGTACAAAAGTGATTGTATCTTTTGTAAATGGAATTGTATCTTGGGAGGCTGACCTCAACTACTGGTATTATGAAACTTTAAAACTGTTAATTTATATGTATTTCAACATATACAACGTGACACAAAATGTGACACCCTAATTTTCGAATAAATTTCTCATTCTCAGTTTTTCGGAAGGACGTTGATGCTTTATAACTGTTTCACCCTTTGAATTGCAGAAGTCAATTCATGAATGAGATGCTATCATTTAGGTAGAAATTTATTCCAAAATCAGAGGGTAGTTTTGTGAAATCCTGTCTATGCTTATATAAGGGTAGAATCAAAAAATGATGGGATCATCCAGCAATCTCCTGACATTGTAGGTTGAATCTCAACTGTTTTTTTTTCGAATCAACTCTTAAAATGGTATTGAATTCTGTTTTCAAACTAACCATAAATTATCCTTTGGTTTATTATGTTGTCCCTTGAAAAGCCCATGTTCAATCCCTTTCAGTACCAATTACCCTGTTAATATTATTTTTTATTTGCCTTTTCTAGTGAGATTGTTCCCCAGTATGACTCCAGTACATTCGTGATGAATGGATTTAGTAGTCTACAGCAGAATGCAGATCCTGTCTACAGTCAACCTTTACATGTGTCTGGCCTAAGCTGGAGACTAAAAGTTTATCCAGTATGTATTTTTATTAAAAAAGAGGTTGAGGGCCTTCATAAATTTTTTCTCATGAAACCTCATTTTAATTCTGTGACATGTTTACTCCTCTGTCAAATCTGAATACCACTACCCAAGAGTGTCAAAGGTGGCATGTGTATACATTTTGAACAAATGTGACCCAGTGAGCTGTTCACATTGGAAGGTGTTCATATAAGAGAGAAGTTTGCTGATACAAGTTTTACTATACTGTGAAATTAAATATTTATATGTAACCCTCATAAATTAAGTATGAGTTTCCATTCATTAATTTTACGAATTAAAACAAGGATAACACACATAATATGAGAAGTACTGCCACCATATGAATGTATATACATATAAACATCAAAATTTAATATTCCTGTAACAAATCTAAAACTGAAGTTTTGATTTCATGCTTGAATTCACCAGGGGTTTCATTAGCAGCAGGCAACAAGGCGATTTTCACCTGTAATTTTAAAATAAATCGCCTGCTGTTTTTAGGGACTTTTCAAGTCTTCCATGTTAAATTTATGATTTCCATTAATAAATGCCTGTTGTTTTTTTCATTTATTTGGCCTGTTGTGAGAAATTCTAGTGAAACCGCTGATTCACACAAAATTCTTTATTCTAGGATGGGAATGGTGTTGTAAGAGCCAACTATTTGTCAGTGTTCCTAGAACTCTCTGCTGGTCTACCTGAAACATCAAAGTAAGCTAAAATATAAATAGATAACATATACGAATATCAGAAAGTTTAAGTGTCAGAAAACAATGGCAGTCCCATCATTGCTGTTTTAAGGGATGTCATTGTTTTTTGACACCATGTATATGATTAAATGAAACAACAAAATAAAACAATAGAATGGAAATACTGTAGAAGTACATGCATTCCAGCGTCATGTTCTTAGTCTTAAGTTGATTCCAGATCATGTTAACATCTTTGAGACGCATGTTCTTTCAGAGGCACATTGCAATTTTCATATGATTCAGCTAAAATGCACTTCAATATGTTTTAATTGGGTAGATATAAGATATACTTTGCATCATTTTTGAAAAAATAATTGTTTAAAAAGAATGTGATCAGGACAGTAAAAAATGCAATACTCTAATGGCTATTACACATATGAACATGTGATCAGGAAAAGTCCAAAAATGTAACACTCAAATTGTTATTACAGATATGAATATAGAGTGGAAATGGTGCATCAAGCGTCCCGGGATTCAAGTAAAAATATTGTCCGGGAATTTGCCTCCGATTTTGAAGTTGGAGAATGCTGGGGTTATAACAGGTGAGTAGTTTGCAATGTCTGTTTTCTCTCATTTGGGAGCAAGTGTTGTCATGGTGTAAAGACCAATCAAGTTATAAGTGCCATCTATAGGCTATGAGGCTATGGTGTCATTCTTACAACTTTGTCAAGTTTGTTTAAGAGTTTGACAACTCAGAAATGTAACTGCTAAAAAATTATAAATGTGTATTTATTGTAATTATTAAGAAATTATTTGACTATAGGCCTAGTTAAATGTATGATATCATATGATTATGTGCCTTATAACAATAAATTGATAATTGTTGATAACTGTTGATATTTCAATGGTTCTCTAATTTATTGAATATAAAGCTGTAAATAGGAAAAGCAGCGATGCAATTTTAATTCATAATAATTGTAAATTGTAATCAGCAATGTGGCATTTTAATAAATTGATCAATTTTTGAGTAGAATATAGAACAGGATATATGATATCTTCCTCAGCATTGATAAACATCAGTGATATTCAATAGCCAACGTAACATTTTCTGATTACTTCTCTAGATTTTTCCGTCTCGACCTACTTGCAAGTGAGGGATACTTGAACACAGAGCAGGATAGTCTTATCCTGCGGTTCCAGGTGCGACCCCCTACCTTTTACCAGAAGTGCCGGGACCAGCAATGGTAAATTATAACCCTTTAAGTAGTAGTTTAAAGGCCCTGTGCAAAGTGTGCAAAATTTAAATGTTTAAAGGCCCTGTGCAAATTCTACCTCCTTGCTAAAACCAATGCCGATTACATGAGATGATTCACTGCGCATGCGTAGGTTAGATTTATTGCGACTTTGCAGGTAGGTGGACGTGTTCCACATTTGAGCTGCTCAGCAGGTGAGAATTCACTTTGCGGTTTTATGCCTGGACTTTAGCTACCTTGTCTAATGTTCAGTACATTCAATACATTGATATATATCTAACTGGATATATTTCGATAAATAAAAATAACCCTGACTTGGGGTTCAATTACTGTGTGAATAGCAGCTTACCCCTGATTGGGAATTTCTTTGTCTCGCAAAACGCGGGAAACTTTTTATAAAATAAACCAATGGTCATAGCCTAACTGGGCTTTCATTGTGAAAAGCGTTTTGTTTTTATAGATCACGCTTGAAGTAATTCTTTCGAGCTGACTTGGCTCTGCGTGAATAAAATTACGAGCTGACTTGGCTCTGAGTGATTGCTAAAAACTCAATACACTATAGTAAAGAGATCAGTGTAACTCAACGCGACTTTATCAGTCAATATGGCACAATCTCAACTCGGAGATATAGATATGGAGACCGAAGAAAGTCTCCTTGATTTGCCAAAATCTTCAGATGTTAAAGGAAAATCAAAATCAAAATCTAAAACAAATTCTAAGAAAGATGCTAATATAGCTCATGTAGGTAAGGATGATTTCCTAAGCCTAACAAATGCCATCACAAGTGGAATGAACGCTATGAAAGATTCTATGGCTGGCATAATGTCGTCATCATTGAAGGACATTAAAGATGCAATGAGGCAAAATCCAAACTCTCTCGAGGAGGACAATCAGTTCAATGATAATGATGATGAATATGATCAAGATCAGTATGATTATGATGAGGACAGTGAAAGTTCTCAACCTCCAACTAAGAAATCAAAAGCCAACAATTCGAGTGATAACGAAATTGTTATGTCAGATTTTATGAAACAACTCAAATCTCAAATAAAACCTCAGGAGGACCAAGGTCCACCGATTGCAGCAGCAGCTGCTTCTTTAGTGAATGAGTTGATTCAAACCAACTTGGATGGAGATGATGAAAAATCTAAACATGACACTTATAAAACCCCAAATAACGCACCTTTACTCTGTGTTGCAAAGGTTAATGAGCAAATATGGTCAAGGGTTTCATATGATCTCCGTACCAGTGATGTACGACTACAACAGGCTCAGAAGCCTATCATAAGTGCTATAGTGGCTGCCACGAAATCATTAGAAATACTGGATCAAATCAAATCTAAGTTGGCAACTAATTCTGACGAATATGAAGACCAATTTGGAAAAATTGGTCTGATGTTATATGATAGCATACAAATGTCGTGTCAAGCAAACTACAAATTGAATATGAGGCGCCGGGAATTATTCAAACCGGAAATAGCACAAGGATTCAAACACCTGTGTGACAAATCTGCATCAGTAACCAAGTATTTATTTGGCGATGATGTTACAAAACAAGTAAAGGATATCGCTGAAATGAACAAAGCTCAAGTTCGAGGATCAGTATTTTCTCAATCAAGAGGAAATAACCGTGGTGCTAGAGGACGTGGAGGTCGTTCACGTGGTAGAGGGCGTTCCCAGAACCATTTTTTATACCAAGGCCAGGGACGCAGCAATTATCAATGGGGATATTCCCAGCAAAACAACTCCCAACGCGGAAGAGGAAGAGGCAAATCTCAGAAGAGAGGCCAGTCTCAAGATTACGAGAATCAGCAAAGCAAATAGCTACAACTGATCCTACTGAGGTAAGAAATTCACTTAGATCTCAGTTAAAATTGTTCGAAGGTGGCAGATTGAAATATTTCTATGATGAATGGAAAAATATCACTAACGACCCAACAATTCTCAAAATAATTGAAGGTTATGATATTGAATTTGTTGATGTTAACAACATACCATCATGTACCGATTGTCGTCCAATGGTTTTTTCTGATTCGGAATGCTTGGCTGTAGATAATGAGATCGAGAAATTTTTGAATAAGGGTATTTTGAAACAAGTTGATTGTTCTGAAATAGGATATTTATCGTCCATTTTTCTGACACCCAAGCGTGATGGGTCCAAGCGGACTATTCTGAATTTAAAACCATTAAACGAGCATATTGTGTATCATCATTTCAAGATGGAAACATTTCAAAATGCCACAAATCTTGTCACCAAAAATTGTTATATGGCCACCTGTGATATCAAAGACAGTTACTATAGTATACCCATGTCTGAACATTCTCAGAAATACCTCCAATTTGAATGGAAGGGTAAAATATATCAATACACTTGTCTACCACAAGGCTTATGTTCTGCCCCTCGTATTTTCACAAAGATTTTGAAACCAGTCTATGCAAAATTGCGAAACCAGGGTAGAAAGTCTGTGGCTTACATTGACGATACGTGTCTATTTGCAGATACCTACGAGGAATGTAAATACAATATTGCTGATACTATACACCAACTGCAAACACTTGGTTTCATTCTTCATCCAGAAAAGTGTGACTTGATCCCTTCACAAAAGGTACAGTTTCTTGGGTTTGAAATAAATTCAAATACTATGGAAATAAAACTACCATATGACAAAACAGAAGCCTTGCGTTCATTGTGTATTGATACCATCCGACACAAAGACAACATTACTATACGTCAAGTTGCAAAATTAATTGGGAAAATGGTTGCTTCCTTCCAAGGGGTTAGGTGAGGGCAGTTATACTACCGTCACCTTGAAATCCAAAAAAGCAATGCATTAACACAAAATTTTGGCAATTTTGATGCGAAAATGTATCTTAACCAGGATGCAATCGATGAAATCAATTGGTGGATTTGCAATGTCAGATCGTCTAAAAGCCCTATCTCTGTTACAGATCCTGACTTAACGTTTCGTAGTGACAGCAGTAATGAAGGCTGGGGTGGTTTTGATGTGAAAAATAATGTAAAGACTGGTGGAAGATGGTCTATTGATGAATCCACTAATCACATCAATTACCTTGAGTTGTTAGCAATTTACTTAACGCTGAAAACATTTTGTAGGTCGTATAGGGACATACATATAAGGGTCCAAACAGACAATACGACGGCTATGACGTATGTCAACAACATGGGAGGTACTAAATCTACCAAATGTAACATCTTATCAAAAACCATCTGGAAATGGTGCATATGTAGAAATATTTGGTTATCTTCCTCTCATATACCAGGTATCAGTAACATCGAAGCTGATCACGAATCTAGAACGTTTCACGATGGAACAGAGTGGACGTTGGATAAACATGTCTTTACCATGATATGTAGAATAGGTGAATTTCCAACGCCAACGCTTGATTTATTTGCTTCTAGATTAAATGCTCAACTTGAGAAGTTCGTGTCCTGGAGGCCAGATCCCGACGCACAATTTGTTGATGCATTTTCCATATGTTGGAACAATGATGTAATGTATGCTTTCCCTCCTTTCAGTCTCCTCATGCCTGTTCTTCGGAAAATCCAACAAGACCAAGCAGATGCAATAGTAATCGCACCTTTCTGGCCGACGCAACCCTGGTGGCCCAAACTACTGAGCCTGCTGGTATCGAACCCAGTAGTATTACCACGTCGGAAGACATTGCTGGGACTTCCTCACAAACCCAGTGTTCATCACCCTTTGATTGGAAAACTGACCATCGTAGCATGTTCATTGTCCGGGAAATCATACAAAACCAGGGAGTTTCTAAGGAAGCACAGACGTTATCGTACAATCATGGAGACCACAGTCCCAAAAACAATATCTTTGTCTACATCAAAAGATGGGTTCAGTTCTGTTCTAAACGGCATATTGATCCCCTTCAGCCATCTATACAAATAGGGTTGGACTTCCTAGTTAGTTTACACCAAGAAACTCTAAGTTACAGCTCGATAAATACAGCGCGCAGTGCCTTATCATCATTTATCTATGACGGAAATATTTCATTTGGACAGCACCCACTTGTGATTCGTTTTATGAAAGGTGTATATAATTCGAATCCACCTAAACCTAGGTATCAATCAATATGGGACGTTTCAATTGTTTTAAGACACCTTCAACTTTTGTTTCCGCTGGAAAAATTAACATTACGTGATTTATCTCTGAAACTAGTAACATTGATAGCACTTACTACAGCACAACGAATGCAAACATTGGCCTTGTTGGACATTGAAAACCTCATTTCTGAGGAGAACTGTTTTGTTTTTACTATAAATCAGAACATTAAACAGTCTAAGGCGGGAGTTAAAAACCCAGTTGTACGACTAGAAAAATATATAGATCCAAGTATTTGTGTATATAGAACATTGAAAACATATTGTGAACGAACTGAGCCTTTAAGAGGGAAATGTACAAGTTTGTTCATAAGCTTTATAAAACCCCATCAATCTGTTTCGAAGGATACTTTGAGTAGATGGGTTAAAACAGTTTTAACAGAATCTGGTATTGATACAAAAGTTTTCAAACCACACAGCACAAGAAGTGCTTCTGTTTCTGCAGCAAGTCGAAGTGGACTTAACATTGAATGCATTTTGAAAACAGCTGGTTGGAGCAACGAGTCGTGTTTCAGAAAATTTTATAATAAGCCAGTGGTGAAACAAAACGATTCATTTTGTAATAAGATTCTTAATGTACTGTAACAGTTATGATGTGTTTATCAGGTTAATAACATGATTTAAATAAATGTATTAATACATTAATTATAATATCTTGTCTTTTGAAATGGAAATTTAATTTGTAAAATTCCATTAAATATCTATATGTCCAGATGGCTTTAAAGTCTCATGTAATCGGCATTGGTTTTAGCAAGGAGGTAGAATTGAAAGTTAAACGATACTTTCAAGGAAAGTTGAAGTTTGACTGGAATTCTACCGACTTGCTAAACACCAATAGATTACATGCCCGCCCTATGAAGCCACACCCTTTGAGAACATGTATAATCATTTATAATTTATTTTACATGTAATCACATAATAAGATATCAAATTTACAATATCATTATTATAGTATTTATTTTCATCTGGACAAATAGATTAACTTTAAAGTTCTAACCTACGCATGCGCAGTGAATCATCTCATGTAATCTATTGGTGTTTAGCAAGTCGGTAGAATTCCAGTCAAACTTCAACTTTCCTTGAAAGTATCGTTTAACTTTCAATTTTTTTTTATCATTCAAATTGAAAGTGGTCACGCTTAGAAAAATAGCTTGCTTCAATGAATGTTTTATTTTATTTATAACCACGTAAATTAATGCTCAACATGAATCATTTTATTCCATTTGGGTTGCACATTTGTGTTGTATTTTCAGGTATGTCAATCAGTTAGAATCCGCCCAGACACAATATATTGCTCAAGTGAATGATCTGAAAGAGGTAAATATCTCCTGCAATCTGATTGGTTGATGTCATTTATTATTAGATGTATTTTTATGCTGTTGGATTTAGAACGTATCACATGTTCTGACAGCTAAAACATTATTTTCAGTTGAAAAAACATTAAAAACAAAAAGATGTATTTCCGTCAGCTGACACCTTGCGAAATGCCGAATTTTGCAGTTCCAATATTTTTTGCATTCTTTTCAAATCAAACTTGTTATTCAATTCAATAAGAGTAAAATTTTACACCTCTTGAATAAACCTAAATATATTCAATGACAGAGCAGACAGGTGTTGGAAAAATGTGCATATCACATACTTTTAAAACTAGAAAAAAAAATTGTGCGCTCAAAAGATATATTTCAATCCGCTGGTGACTTTCCCAGTGTTACAATACTTTCTATATTTTATTCACTGTTGGATCAAACAGGTCCTTGGACAGGTTTACTTATCACATACTTCAAAACAAGTAAGTAACACATTAAAATTATTACACATTTTAAAATACTGGGATATCAGGATATGATGCATGTATGTTTTCATTGTTTCAGAGGCTGGCGATTGAGCTGTCCAGAAACCAGTCAAAACGTAATATGTCCCCAGGTATGTTGATACTTACCACATTCTCTCTAATAAGCACACAGTTCCAATGAGTGCACATGCAACTTTTATATTGGATATGGTCTCAAGAAAACATGAAGTTTAACGCATTAGTTTCGACTATTTACACAAGATGTCAATTGATGATTTCATTTAACGCAGAGAACAGGAGCTTTAAAGTATGTAAACCTAAGGGATAACAACTAAAACTAAAAAGATTATCTGCGATATTTTTTTTCTAAATCTTTTGTATGTGCGTTGTTTGGAATCTCTCACTATCTTAACCTTTTAAATTTAATTTTGAAACTGCACTGTGCGTACATTAGAGAGAATACAGTATATATTTCAAAATCACAGTTAGAAAATGAACATGAATGGGTGATACTTTTATATGATAATTTTGTGTATCCTATTTCAACCAGTTGATGCAGGTTTAAATATAGCATACGTATTTATATCTCCGACTGCTCCCTGTACATAACCAATAACATAAGCAGCAAAATTATATTATGAAAGAATAAATTGAATCTAATTCCAGAGCGTGAGGTTGAGCTAGGGCCATCAGAGAAAGTGACTTGCCCAGTAGGAACTAGATGTAGAGGATTACAATATAATAATATAATATTATGAATAAATAAATTGAATCTAATTCCAGAGCGTGAGGTTGAGCTAGGGCCATCAGAGAAAGTGACGTGTCCAGTCGTTTCCTTGGAACTGGACGTAGAGGATTGTAACACAGAGACTCAGCACAGTGGAACGGATAGCTTAGAGGTATGTTATCCCATCAAATGAAGTTATGAGGGATGTAGAGAATGACTCCAGCCATTTGTCCATCCGGTCCAGGCATAACTCAAATATGTTTGGCTTGATATAGTTTATTTTTATATCTGTTTTACTTGACAGCCAATTTTCAAAATGGCCATCATTCAATTTCAGAATGGCCGCCATTTTAGTGTCAATTATAGTGTACTTTAGTTACAACATATAAAACGGTAATATTAATATGTTTTAAATGCCAAGAATTATAAAGGAAATTCAAATCTAATCATTTAAAAAAATATAATGGCCATTATCCACTATTTTTGCTGTATCTGGAAAAGTAGTGGACCAGTTTTTATATTTGATATGTGACCATACTCGTAAGCATGGTACATTGTCTTCTGACACTTTGGCCATTATGAATAATGGCGGCCATCTTTAATTAAAGTTTAATTTATTCAAGTTAAAGGCTTTTTACATGTTATCTATGGACACTTAGCTTTTCAAAACCATTATACTGTACATGAAGGAAAATATTCAGCTACAGATTTTCTCTATTTAGAAACATGAAATGAGTCTTCAAAATACAGTGTATTGAAAATTCCTACAGAGTAGTAAAAACATAAAAAAACAGTTATAACTTTAGCCACATTGGATTTTTTGAAAGAATTTTTAAAAAATTTAAGAGATAATTGATTACATAGTAAGCTATACTAATTAAAATTTTCTATCTAACTTTGATATAAGCAGTACTGGGATCATGGAAACATACAAATTACATATTGCATCTTTACAAATAGTTTTTATTATGGGCATATAAGAACATTATAATATCAACTTCTAAAAATCGTTGTTTTTCTCTTATACACTGAATTGAAAATATCAGGATGATGTTATACAAAAATACTGAAAAGTGTCACTTATTTGTGAAAATGTCCATCTGCATATCAAATATGGTATTTGAAACTAAAAACAAATTACACGTATATACATAAAAAATGTAGTTCACAAATCCACCACTGGAATAAAAGTAACTTACTATTTAATAGGGGTGAGACGAGTCGAAAAAATCCGATTCGAGTCGAATCCGATTCGAGTCAGAAAATGACGATTCGAGTTTCGAATCCGTTTCGAGTCGCGCGAAGTGCGAACAACATCGCTTTTGACCGTTCGTATTTTTAATGCGTCAATGGTGGAAAGCCGGAAATATAAACAAACACAATTCGTCGTAAGTTTATTCTGATTTTATTACATATATTCTTTCATTTATGTGTACATACAATATAATAATTTAATACAAGCATATCCAAGTCATTGAAACTTATATATTCAACGCAATATCGAGTAAAAACATGCATATTGACAGTATTTTTCTGAATTTTTTTATTTTTTCGAATTTTTTCTCAACTCGAAAATGATTCGATTCATCAACTTCGACTCGATTCGACTCGACTCGAAGCCCCAAACCCGCGAGTCCTCGACTCATCGGGTTGTCGTCTCACCCCTACTATTTAACAATATCTTACATAAAAGGTTCTAAGCTTTTTGAGAAGCATATGATTTGACCTGTCAGTCTAGACCAAAGGTAGCCCCAGACTGACAAACTCTGTCAAATCACTGGTCCAGGTCGTAGATCTGATACCCTGAAATGTAAAGAATTATAGAAAACACTGCTTATATTTGTGGTGGACAAATGCCATGAAGCTGGTAGTAAAGAGCAAAAACAGCAGCATGACTTTAAAAGCGCTATGCCATATGAGATTTAGTACCAATATAATGATGGCAAGAGTTTATTTTAACCTAAAGTTTTAAACACGATGTAACTTCATAACTGCCCTTTTGAATGAGTAATAATGATCAGCGCCTGGATAATTCTGCCAGCCAACGCATTGGGCAAACGCTCGACAAGTTGGTCCCATCTCATATATCCCAAACAGGTTTGAGTGATGACACGCAGCATACCACCACGCCCCTTTGTAAGCTACTGCACAATTACTAGTACCATGAGGATCATTGTCTCGATCGTATGTTGTGAATCGCTGTCCATTTTGAAATGCCATTGCATCGCCTGCTGTTCCAGAATATCCACTGATAGCAATTCGGTACTTATCACTCTCATCAGCCATGTTAAATGTGGAATACTCAGCAAATCCAGCAGTTGGGTTAAGATTGCTAGATGGCCATGGTGTTAAGTCGAATCGAACTTTATAACTCCTTTGCTTCAGGACACTGGCAAGGTTGTCAAGCCCGATGAAGTGTTCAAGGCTGACATTACCAAAACCTTGCTGATATTCAACCCAGTTGCGGTAGAAGTTTTCACTTCCATCAAACCTAAAACAAACACATAATGGATTTCTTTTTATATATGTTTTTCTATCTAAAAATGCAACATTCAAAATTTTGCATTAACATTCACATTCCCAGTCAATATTTTTAACTCAACATGTCTCCAAAATTTGTTGGCACAGCAAAAATTTGAATATTGCATCATTATCTGATTCAAATGAATGAATATATAAACCAGCTGAGTGTTATAGTTGTTTCAGCTAAACATCTTGTTGAATTTTAAAATGTGTCTACAAGTTCAAACCGTTTGATGGATTTAGCTGAAATTTATTTGAATGTTCCTTGGAATAAATTTTTTAACTGATTTTGGCATTCTGAGTATTATATGTTAAGGCGGCCATTTTGGATTTTACATTACACAATTTTTTGTGAAAAGTCTAATCTACATGTTTTAGCCAAACTGTTTCATGGATCAGTCTGAAATTTTCAGGTATGTTTCTTGGTATGAAGTAATTATTAGTCCTTAGGAATTCTGGGTAAATTTTTCAGGTGACCATTTTTTGGACTTTATATCCCAAAAAATTGTATTTGAGGTCTTGTCTACAATATGATTCCAGCTAAACAATTTGATGGATTGGTCTGAAATATTAATACATGTAGATGTATTTTGGTATGAACTTTAAAACTTATTTGTTTTTGAACAAGCTGTGTGAATGTAAAGTTGACCTGATTTAAAATTTTCTTCAACTGATTTACTGTTGAATTTACTGCATATGGAATGAAAAATCTCTATAGGATCACACAGTGGTGGGTACATATTGCACATGTTGTTGTCCCTGTTTATTTTATTAAAGCAGTGCCAGTTTACTCATTCAAATCCTCACCTGTTGAATACATAGGTCCATCCTTGGTCGCAATAAGCATCAAAGATTCTTCCTTCTTCTGTCTGAATTCTTCCAACACCAATGTATGTAGGATCTCCACCACAGTCCCCATCTAGAATGTAGCAGATAACAAGTACATACAAGTATATAGTAGGATCTCCACCACAGTCCCCATCTAGAATGTAGCAGATAACAAGTACATACAAGTACATAGTAGGATCTCCACCACAGTCCCCATCTAGAATGTAGCAGATAACAAGTACATACAAGTACATAGTAGGATCTCCACCACAGTCCCCATCTAGAATGTAGCAGATAACAAGTACATACAAGTACATAGTAGGATCTCCACCACAGTCCCCATGTAGAATGTAGCAGATAACAAGTACATACAAGTACATAGTAGGATCTCCACCACAGTCCCCATCTAGAATGTAGCAGATAACAAGTACATACAAGTACATAGTAGGATCTCCACCACAGTCCCCATCTAGAATGTAGCAGATAACAAGTACATACAAGTACATAGTAGGATCTCCACCACAGTCCCCATCTAGAATGTAGCATATAAATATAAGCACAAATCCCAAAGAGAAAGGACCAAACTGTTATGAAACCTAGTAAGAAAAGAAAACCCGAGAACCTGTAATAAGGAGAAGTAATTAGAAAATTCAAAATACCTCCTTGAAACCATTTTTATAAGCATACGTACTTGCATGTATATGAAAGAAGTCAATATTTAGTAATTTTTATTGCCAAGAATTGCTTATTTGCAACATCAAAAGGTAGTACATTAGAGCATATAGATTTTTATTGGAGAGTTTATAGTAAGGATTGCTAAAGTGAACAAAGAGTCTGACTAAACAATATTGAAGATATCACCAGCAGTGCCCCTTAATCAAGGGAATTACTTCCTAGATTGTGTTAATTGAGATTGATCTTAAGTTTAACTTAAAATGTTTTTAATTTAATGTTAGATCATCATATTTTATGTAAAAGTAGAAGGAATGTTAAAAAACGAGAACGTTTAAAACCTTGACGTGCGCAGAAAACCCACGTAGAACCAATTCTTGGTTAAAATGCTCAAACAAAATTTTTGCTTGCACCCAATGATATATATTTATTGGGAGGACTTGCAGCGAATTTGCACCCAATTGACTTCTTTTGAATTCTTTTGTAATGTACTTGGTCATTCTTCAATATTGCTTGAACTTGATGAAGCGGGGTGGACGCTTTTTATGGGTGGGTGTTAAATTCCAAGATTACAGTATACATGTATATTTTAAATAGTCTCACCTTTCTGTTCGCATGTTGCTCCAGAGAAACCTTGCGCACATTGACATGTGAAATTAAAAGGCCCAATAGGAATACATGTACCACCATTTTGGCAGGGAGCATAAACACAGCTATCTATAATACAAATATCTATCATTACCTCTTTGGAGAAGTTGGGTATTTATTAACCTCTTGAGTCCCGGACTCTCTAAAATCGGTTGAAACCAGAGAATTTTTCATTTTTGCCACCTTTTGACATTTTACTACATACCTATGCAATTTTAGATGCTCAACTTAGTAAAATTAGATGGCAGAGATCATTTCTACACATTTTAAAACATTTTTTGTGTAAATTGGATTAAAATTGGTTCAAATAAGAGCAATTTTGTGAACATTTTTGTGACAGATTTTGTCGTCCCTCTGGGTTTCAAGTTTATTTCTGAGGTGACGAGAAATCTCATCACTCTGACTAGTCAAGAGGTTAAGAAAATTATTACAGGCTGGTAGCCAGCTTTTTCCAAGGGGGGTTCAGTTTTTAAAAATTCCAGGGGTCACAACTTTCTAAATCAGATGCTATGAGGATTTGTTATTGATGTTGAGAAATATGGGTTATACCAGGTCGTTCAATAAGTTCATGTAAAACATTCTCATTGTTTTATTTTTTAGTGTTTTTCCTTGAAACTTTCACAAATCATAGAAAAAATACCTACTCATTGAAAAACAAAAAAATAAATTACTTTGTTTTGATTTCTGTACCTAATATGCAACTAATAAATCACAAGAATTCAATTAAAATTAAACTTTTTTCACGTTATAAATTGCCCCGCGTGACCAAAACACAGGTAACCATAGCAACCATAACTTTTAATAACAAAGTAATTTATTTTTTGTTTTTCAATTAGTAGGTATTTTTTCTATGATTTTTGAAAGTTTCAAGGAAAAACATTAAAAAAATAAAACAATGAGAATGTTTTTACATGAACTTATTGAACGACCTGGTACTTATTTCAAATTATGATATGCATCATTTTTATTCTGTTCTAGTGTAAGCACTCCTTATTGCTCACTTGATTTCTCAGAAGTTTTGATTTTGTTATATATATTCACTAATAGTTGGTCATTTCACAATATTTCTTGAACTCTGTAAAGCGGTTTGAGTGCTTATTAGAAGGTGGGCACTAAATACACCAATAACAGTACCTTTAAAACTTCAATATCTCATAGTCCATACTTACTACACAGCGGGGTAGCTGAAGATGTTGCTTCTTCAGAAATCTATAAAAATTAAATTTATGGATTATACAGTTGTCAGCCATAAGATGATTTTATAGGTTTTTCAGAAAAAAATAAAATTACATAAAAATGTTATTGCATTATGTGTTAAATACAATAAATACACGTTTAGCAATAATACTTAATTATCAATTCATTACAGTGTAATATAGGGTCAACTTACTAGTCTGTAATAGGTCATAAGCGTGTTGGGCACCAATGCCGAATTGTTTGCATCCAAGGAACAGTACAACAGCTCACATAGTGACATCTTTTGTTTTGAACCAAGCTCAAAATTGAATGAGAAACAGGCAGGATTCGTAGCGCATGATTCTCCACACTTTCCCAAACTTTTCACATTTATACTGTCTAATATATATCCATGCAAAGTGTATCCAGGTACTTTCTGGAATAGTGTTGGTGATACTGATGATATTTCACAAGTTATAACAAAGAAATATATTATAAAATCTGCCAAGTAAGACATAATTGAGTCCTTGTCATACATGTATCTCCAAACAATATACATGTACATTGAATTATTTCCTATTTTGTTTTGTGATTTGGGTACGTCTGAACAATGCTTGTCAATGTCATAATGGTTTTCTAATAAAATATCCATATTGAGATGTTTAATGAGGCCTGATCATGTTACAGGATATTCTAATAATGTAAAATAATGATTTCTACTTTTGAAATGAAGTGGCAATTTCTAGCCACTAATTGATTGCCCATTGTTATATAAATATAGACAGTATTGTCTCTATTAGACGCATACTCCAATAAACACGCACGCTCCTTTTCCATGAAAGACCTTGGCAATTTGAGTCACAAAAATAAAAAAAACGTAAAAATCAAAGGCTAATAATTAGGCATTAACATTAATTCACTAACAGCCATGGATTGATAGCCTCAAGCTATAAGGAATGTGAAACTTATCACAAGAGTGACGGTAAAGTATCTCCATTGGTAGAAAATGGTAGAAAATATCTAACTCTGTCTCATCATCAAAATGTTATATGCAAGTGTAATGTGAAAGAAATTGATGTTTGCCTAACAATCAACGAAAATTGCTGCCAAATGAATATTGATTATACACTCTGCATATAATAAGTATAATTGAGTAATGAATTATCAATATAGTAAATCTGAAACATAGGATCAAATCCTATAGGCTAAGGGCTTAATAAGTGGAACTTTGGCTATTTTGAGTAATGGCCGCCATTTTACCTCTTTGATTTATTCCAAGTAAAAAGCTTTTTACATGTCATCTATGGACACTTTTGTCATAACTTAAGAACAATTATAACTTTACCCATGTGGGAGTGTTTGTAAAAATTATAAAAAACATATTAGAGATATATGATTTAGCTACCACTATGAATTCAAATCTTCTGTCAATCTATATTTGCTCTCCTTGGATCATGAGAATATAGTCACAATTTTTGTGGAATGCTTGCTACACCGACAAAGAGCATATTTTGGGTCATTGTTTCTTGATTTTTGAATTCAGCAATTACATTTCATTATGTACATATGAAAGCATCACTAATCCACCACTGAAATAAAGTAGCTTATTTACTTATATCTCACATGAAAGATTCTAAGCTGCTCGAAAGTCATTTGAATTACAATTTCTGCCAGACAATTGTCATAAAGCTGGTTGTAACGAGTAAATACAGCAGTATGGATTATTAATGCTCTGTCACATCAATTAGTCTAAATGTCACATCAATTAAGAATCAATTCATCCTAATATCATGATGGCAGGAGCTTAATTTGATGTAAAGTTCTAAACACGATGTAACTTCATTACTGCCTCCTTGAATGAGTACCAGAGGCCAGTGCCTGGATAATACTGCCAGCAAACACATTGAGCAAATCCAGTACATGCTGGCCCTTGCGCATATATCCCAAACAGGTTTGCTTCATGACACGCAGCATACCACCATGCCCCTTTGTATTGTACTGCACAATTACCATCATACTTAACATCGTTATCTTGATCGTATGTTGTGAATCGCTGTCCATTTTGAAATGCCATTGCATCGCTTGCTGTCCCAGAATATCCACTGATAGCAATTCGGTACTTATCACTCTCATCAGCCATGTTAAATGTGGAATACTCAGCAAATCCAGCAGCTGGGTTAAGATTGCTAGATGGCCATGGTGTTAAGTCGAATCGAACTTTATAACTCCTTTGCTTCAGGATACTGGCAAGGTTGTCAAGTCCAATGAAGTGTTCAAGGCTGACATTACCGAAACCTTGCTGATATTCAACCCAGTTGCGGTAGAAGTCTATACTTCCATCAAACCTAAATCAAAGACATGTTTTGGATTTCTATGAAGAAAGGGGACATTCATGTTTTCTATTTACTAATGCACCATTCAAAGATTTGCATTGGAAATTTTTTGGAATGTTTCTTTGGATGGAACTTTTTTACTAATTTTTTGTCTTTGAGGATGCTGAGTAAACGTTAAGGCGGCCATTCTGGATTTTCCATCCTAAAATCTTGTCTCTTCAATTGATTAGTGTCAGGCATTCGGGATGAAATATCTAGGCCTTTAAACTTTAAGGATCACCCATTATTGTGGATATTTTGAACAGTTGGGTGTTCTTGTTGATTTTTACAAAGCAATGCCAGTTTACTCATTCAAATCCTCACCTGTTGAATACATAGGTCCATCCTTGGTCGCAATAAGCATCAAAGATTCTCCCTTCTTCTGTCTGGATACTTCCAACACCAATGTATGTAGGATCTCCACCACAGTCCTCAAAATCTAGAATGTAACAAATTACAAATAAATTTAAACAGGTCATTAGTATGTTGAATATGTGGTACGTCCTCCCTTGGTCACAATAAGCATCAGTGATTCTCCCTTCTTCTGTTTGGATTCTTCCAACACCAATGTATGTAGGATCTCCAACACAGTCCTCAAAATCTAGAATGTAACAAATTACAAATAAATTTAAACAGGTCATTAGTATGTTGAATATGTGGTACGTCCTCCCTTGGTCACAATAAGCATCAGAGATTCTTCCTTCTTCTGTTTGGATTCTTCCAACACCAATGTATGTAGGATCTCCACCACAGTCCTCAAAATCTAGAATGTAACAAATTACAAATAAATTTAAACAGGTCATTAGTATGTTGAATATGTGGTACGTCCTCCCTTGGTCACAATAAGCATCAGTGATTCTCCCTTCTTCTGTTTGGATACTTCCAACACCAGTGTATTTAGCATCTCGACCACACAACTTGTGATTATATTAGTTAAATATGGTGTGGAAAGCATCCAATGATAGATATTTATTGGAATGATGTTCATTGAATCGCAACATTTTTCACTTTACCCATTGACTCTTTACTCTTTGGAAAGTTTTTCTAATATATTTGTTAATACTTGGTCATTCCTGGATATGTCTTGAACTTAATGATGTGGGGTGGGTGCTTATTACAGGGTTGGCACTAAATTTAGTGATTGCAGTTGTAGTATAGATTTTAAATAATCTCACCTCTCTGTTCGCACATTGCTCCAGAGAAACTTTGCACACATTGACATGTGAAATCAAAAGGCCCAGTCGGAGTACATGTTCATTTCTCATTTTTTTAGTAAAATACATGTGAGGATGAATGCTACGCATTGGTTTTGATTATCGCTTATTAAAAGGTATTTGCGACCTCTAAAAGTTAGTATATATCACACTTTGATAACATCAGGTAAAACTACAGTATGAGCCAAAGTGGTTTAAACTTTATATGGGACCTTTAAGTTTAATTTTTTAATATCTCAACATCCATACTTACTACACAGTGGGACAGCTTCTTTGGGAATCTTTAAATATAAATTAATTTTATGGATTATACAGTCAGCTAATTTTAATAAATCAATTTAACTAAGATGAATATATAATTTTTTTAAAAAACATAATTACATAAATACAGAATATCACATCATTTTGAGTGATATCATTTTTATCGCCGAGTTGATATCAAATATCAACACGAGTGAGCGAAGCGAATGAGTGTTGATATTTGATATCTACGAGGCGATAAAATGATATCACGAGAAATTATGTGATATTGGGTTTATCCCATGATTACAATCACGTTGTCATGTTCTTATCCAATTTCCAGGACATTGGCAGACAATATAAACTAGAAATTAGAATAACAATTGAAAAAAATATGCACTACTTTCTGTACATGATATAGTTCGTCATAAATACCATTTTTAATCGTTTAAATTAGCAGCGTTCCAATCAAATTATATACACAATCGTAATTCAATACACCAATGAAACTTAAAGAGAATAAATTAACGGACCTATTTTCTCAAAAGAGAATAAATAATCTGACCTAATTTCCAACAATATTGTGGCGCGAAATGGAAATGTGATATCACACGGATATGCGTGAGATAAACGATATCACACGCATATGAGTTTGATAAACGATTTTCTGGAAAATATCACACGGATTTCAATAATATCAGAAATATCAACAGCCGTTATTGTACAAATAACACATTAATCGTGGGATAAATAGATTTATTACATGATCTGTAAAATGCCGCCCTCTGATTGGTCAGTTCTTGAGCTTTACCAATCTGTATTGGGACCTATCACCTTGTATTGGTACGGGATTGATCATCTCCATAACAATACAGAAAATATTGGTAAGGAGGGGACAATCTCAGTAGCAATACAGATTTCATTCATGAAATGAAAGTGTCTTCATCAAATATATGGTTTTAGAGCAAGTCAGAGTATCCAAGGGATTATCTCCTTAGTAAAATGTATTGGCTTAAGATCATATGATAAAAATGTCATAAAATGATTTGAAGTGGAATACGGGATATATTTTGCTCTCAATATTTTGTATTGGGAATCTACTTTGTCTCGTGCCAATACAGAATTTCTCAAGCACAATATACATGATATATCCTGTATTGCGTTTCAAATCATTAAATAACTTTAAAGTATTTGTAATAAAATTTGAAAATTAAAACTTATCAAACACTATAAAATAAATGTTTGCTTTACATTTGTATTAATAAACTCCCTGCTCCAATTTTTTTGCAATTTAAAATGTAAATATCTGCAAATGAGTGAATTTTGCTGGAGTTAGTGGCCAATATCACTTGAATTTTGCAGGATTTCTTGACAAAGAATTGGAATTTTTTAAATTAAAGCTTTGTGATAGTTGTTTGTACAGTCATAGAGATAAATATGCTTCTGCTTGTAATTTGAAGAAGTTTATGTCCTACAAAATTTTAGTACAAATACTACAAATATGTATATAAATAAAACAGTAGTGTTACAAACACCAATTAATACTAACTATGAGCAATAATACGTAAATATCAATTAAATTATAATACAGGGGTTTCATTAGCAACATACTACAGGCAATTTGCACCAGATGTTTTCACAAAGTTGCCTGTTGTTTTTAGGGATTTATCAACTTTTCCATGTGGGGTGGGTGCTTATTACAGGGTTGGC